TGTGCCTTGCTCTGAGTCGAGGTAACTTTGGTCGGCGTCTGTTGTCTGCTGCAGGGAAGTTAGAAATCAAGGAATTCATAAAAGGAGCAAGAGCAGTCACGGAAACCGTAAAGTTGTATGGTGAGGTGTTGTGGCGCGGGCTAACAGAGGTATTAAGAAAATTAGTTGGGAGACGAGTGAAGTAGTGAGAAGGAGGTGGTCTTGTGAAGAAACCTCTTGTATTAAGCTGTCCCCAAGTATTTCCAAGGGTATTACATGCAATTGGGATTGCTTAAGAGATGGTAGACAAGCTTGTCTCTCTTTATGCAAATACAGAGAAAGAGAAAAGAAAAACACTTCCCCAGGCTACGGTGCCGTTTCTTCCCTCAAATTGAAGACTGGATAGAGATTTTAGAAAATGTTCCTAATTTTTTAAACACCAGAAAAAAAGTCTCTCCCAGCAGACACGTGGAGAGCTGCCCTCGTTTGGGGATGAGCGTGCTTTGGGAACGTCCTGCGCTGCTCGGGCAGTGGGGACGGTGCGGCGTAGGCTTGCATCCACGATGGGTTCCAGTGAAATGGAGGAAGGTGGTTTTGTTTGATTAAAAGTGTAAACACACAGCTGTCTTAAAGTTCATTGCATAATTATGAGCACAGCTGTGCAGTTTGTCGTTGTGTAACAATTTTAAGGTTTTTTCCTTAGTTTTCTGTACATGCTGTGATTGCCATTTTTATTAATGTGCAGTTATTTGTGTTATCGCCTGTGTAACGTCTTAAATGTTCTTAAAAGAAAAAGCTTGGTAAATTCAACCGATACTAAAGCGGATGGTGTTGAGATGTATTTCACTGTATTTATTTCAGAGAGTATAGCTATTGGGGAGAGAGCTTTAAAATAGCATTCTGCTAGTTCTAGAAAGGATTATCTGCAGCGTAAGATTTGAATTTCAGGCTTTGGTGCTGCAGAACCAGAAATAAAGCGTCTATCCTCACAGAGGTAAATACACAACTTCCCGAAAGTCAGGAACTGGAGATGTGCAGCATGAGGTCGAAGTCTGGATCTTGGCACAGTGCTTTTAAGTTTGCACCGTGTGCCTTGGTTACTCAGGGTTCCTTGACAGCTATGCTTATCGTTCATCTTGATTTGTTCTCCCTTCACCTGAAGGTTCATGTGTTGTGTTTCCAGCCATTAAACATCTCCACCTACAGACTTGCAACTAACGTAGGCTTAAGTTTATTTTCCTTTAGCTTGAACTCCTTTGGAAGTTGCCAGCTACTTTGGCTTCCAACAAACTTACTTGTTGTTAGCAAAATACAGTCTTTTTATTCTGCTGCAGTTTAGAGAGGTTTGTGGTTTATTTGATTTACTTTAGGAGACCTAAAGTGGAGATCTTATCAGCACAGTTGTTAAACAATCCAAGACAGGCAGTGCAGTGTGGCAGATAATTTGTGTGTAAGTGAACCGTGCAACACAGATCCTTAAATCAAGAAGTCTCTGCTGGTGTATGAAGAGATCACCAGGATGTTCTGTTCCACAGAAACCTCTTCGCTGTGAAGTCCGTGCTAAGCTTTAATGTTAAAGGTGACGCGCAGGTTTTCGTAAGTTAAAATGGCCATCTAACCCATGTAAAGCAACGTATTACAGTTTCAAACTATATTTTATGCAGCAACGTTTTGTTTTGGTTAGTGTGGGCAGGCTGCCTCGTTTGAGGTTTTGTCTGTATGGTCTCAGGAGTCCAATTAGCTCCACTTTAAATCTGCAGCACGCATTTGGCCACGGAAGCAAATGTTAAAGCTGCCGAATATAAATCTCATTAGTAGAGATGCACGCTTTGTACCATATACCAAGGAATTACTAAAGGTCACCTCTCTACTCAGTAAAAGAGTTCTCCTTCGTTATGAGAACTACAGTCCTGACGAGAGAAGGATGTCATTTCAATTAACTGGCATTAGCTCTGTTCGCAGTTTGGTAGGGGAGAGGCCAGAACAGCGCGAGCAGCCCCTTCCCGGGTGGCACGTCAGGCGCAGCTAAGCTTTTCTGCTAGGTTTTGGTTAGTAACTATTAATTTTTGAGGGAGGGGAAGCATATAGGGGTCATGTTCTAATCTAAAAGTGCTTGTTTGTAATTGTGCAATAACATGATGATGCACTGTAGGTGAAGCTGAAAATTATAATACCAAGCTGAAAAAAGGAGAAAATGGTCTCAAGACAAGGATTTTCTACGGTTGAAGTTTTACTAGATAATGGGATATCCACTTAGGAAATAGTGAAGCTCCCACTGGGAGGTTTTTGTCTTTAAAACATGAAAGCATAGCGATACTCTGTTAGGGGACAGATTTGCTCTGCCTAAAGTATGGATCATGTGGACAAGTAGGTCTTCTCACTTAATGCTTCGATAGATTGTGAGTGCTTAGTTTCTAACCTGCTGCCTGTTAAAAGTCATTGAAAGTCTCCCAAAGGCACACCAAATTAACTTCTACTTTTACTGAAGCAAAGAGCCTAAGCTCGGTTGCCAGCAGAGAGCTGTTGCTGCAGAACCTGCTCTATTATATGTCTCTTTTGTTGCTGTAATGATCTATGTGGAGTAATTACAAAAGCTTGTTTGTTTGAATGACTAAAACTAGTACAGCGAGATGAATACTTCATCTGCAAAATGACATGTTTCCTGAACGTTTGGCTTGGTAGTAATTGTACAAGGAAAATGCGGTTTGCGCTACTGGCCTAACAGCACATGCTCCACAGTAAAATTAGAGATAGCTTTCCAGAATGGTCTTGTGTTCTGGTATAATACTGTATATGTTGTTCTTATGCAGATTATCTTGATAATGGCAATAATAAAATGGCAATCCAGCAAGCGGACAAACTGCTCAAAAAACACAAGGATCTTCACTGTGCAAAGGTAAGTGTGGTTGCGGTGCGCTGACCTCGTTTGGTGAGCGCGGCTCTGAGACTTGGAGTGCTTCGCTGGGCCTCTTGAGCAGCGTCCGTGATCTTCCAGAGACCGCGGTGTTTTCTGAACCCTCTGGAACATCTCGGGCGGTTGTAATTCACACAATATTGTGTTTTCCTGAAGACTTGTACAGATCCTCTTGGTGACTAATGACAGGGTGTAATTGGTTACACCTGAGCTAATTGTCTAGCTCCCTGTCAGAGCCACTGCAAGCAACCTTGGCACGTGGGCTGTGCCTTAAAAATGCCTCTTCTAGACCTTAAGTTGGGATACTTATCTGTAGGAGTTTGGACCAAAACAGTTGCTTGGGAAGCGTAGTCCTTAGTAAAACATAACAAGGTGATTTTGGAGGCGTTTGCTTTTCTGTTTCTTGCTCGCTGCCCTCCTTGCTGTGCCCCTGTTGAAGGGAAAGGAGTTCTGTTCTTCAGTTTTCTGAACATACGACTATCTGTCTACTTTTCTCTTTTCCCTGTGGGTTTTCCTCTACAGTTCATACCACTTCTACATTTTGAAAGCTTCCCAAGCTGAAGCGAGTGTCATTGACCTGAATCTCATTTATGTCACTTCTCTCTGGCCAGTTATTGAAAGAAAAAAATGAAAATTGGCAGGACTGGTCAGTTTTCAGTCTGCAGGTAGGGAAAACTGAGTGGCAGCTGATGCCTTGGAGCGGCCTGCATGTTTGTTAAGAAATGTAAAGCCACGCTATTTGCAGCTTGCGTTTAGAAATTTTCCTCTACAGCCATATGGATTAGAAGCTTAATAAAACCTGAAGTTCTGTAGAAGTAA